GCTCTACACAGCCCTTTATGGGGACAAAGGGAAATTATTGCAACTATATTTATAGGGTAGTCACAGTGTTCCACAAGGTCGTGCAAGTCTCCGTGAGGGGGCAAGAAGCTTCGAGTCAAAGGCGCTCGATCCAGATTGGCTGGTTTTCTGACCAATCAGAACATACCTGCGTTTGGTCCGTAGCACTCACTTGACAAATCCGTTCAATTGATGTGATGTTCAGTTATTAGGGACGGCTGAACTCCGGACACTAAGTCATCCTCTCTCTGGGGAGTTCGTTTTAACGTGAATCCAAGTTTCTCAACCCTGAGTGAGTCTGAAACGCCGAAGCAGGGTTGTTCATTCTGCTTCTTGTAAGCTTTAGACTGTATCGATGAGTGGTGCGATTTTCCGAGAAGTACGCAACAACGACAACAACGACTGCCTTGTTGCCGCAGTAGTTCTAAACGTATTAGTTCACCTCTTCAACAACAATATCTTCTCAGGAATCTATGAATCTCCTACGTTCATATCTGTAGGCTGAGCCAGTGAATCTGGTCCTGTTATTCGGAGAACGCACAGGCGAGATGGCTCAGTGGTTACAGCATGAATTTGCTGACCGGAAGGTCCCTGGTTCGAACCCCAACTCCGCCTCTCGACATTCTATGCTTAGGCTTAGGCAACTTGGCAGTATCCCAGCCCCGTGCTTCCTCCGGATGGCATGGCAGCTAGTCACCGGAAGGGTGTTACAGCTGAACGATTATCTTTATTTTCATTTTTTCATCCATTCGGTGAATGCAGTCCAAAGACTTGCGATATTTCTCCGTGACGTAATCCTCGATATAGTTTTTTCCACTGCTGCATGACCCCTGAAAACTGCACCCACGAAAACTAGCATCTGGAAAACTTGGCTGGCGGGAAACTTTGGAAAGGTCTCCACAAGTCTATAAGACATTTTTGGAAGCGTTTTTATTGTTTCGGCTTCAGAGTACGAACAATTTCTTCATCCAGTGGTTGTAGGTCAGCTCAAGTGTTTGGTCACACATGAGATAACATGCAGTTTTCGACGTCTTGTAGCACTGGATCCAGAACGCCAGTGGTGTCCTCTTTCCCCTATCTGGAGAAAACTGGTCTCTTTCGGTTGTGCTGTAGTGAGATATCGCCCAGATCACAGCCGATCATTACAGTCTACAAAAGAGATCCGGAACCACAAAACCCGAGGCCGAACAAGGACTCAAAGAAGAAAGCAATAGAACAAAACTATCAAAAATGGAAGGGGCATCACAAACCAACAGAGAAGCCGACCAGGACGAAATGCAAATCAAGAACGGGCCAACCGAAGGACACAACAATGGACGGCAATTTCAACAGTAGCGTGGCCATAGGAAGCAAGAAATACAAACCACAACGCAACGCAGATTAAGATCGGACCAACCAGAATCTAAGTAGGATGATTCTCAATGGCCAATCAAGTTACAGCGCAAAGGCTCCTCTTTGTAACCTATACAAACGCATGCACGAAGATAGGGATTGCTCAACCAACAGTGCACTGAAGATGTCTCCTCGAATAGTGAGGAAACGTATGAAAGTCAACTGCCAAACTCGGCGAACAGATCAACAGCCACCTGCTCAATTACCAATCACTACAGTGAGCGGACTGGTATCGATGCCTTGTAAGTGACTATCATCCAATTCTCTGGTCTAAATAGCTCGTTGGTTCGAAATCCGAAAAATGTTATCGTCGTGCACTGCACTACTATGCTGTCTGACACAGTTTAGGTATCTGTTCAAAAGTGTAAATACAAAGGTGTTCTCATCGAGGGATTATGGGCGGTCGTTTGCCGAGATACTACATCGATATTGTGCTTCACTCCGTCAGGAACCATGCTTCAGATAAGTCTACTTGCAAGTGATCTTTTGCACCTCACTCTAATGTTAGACTCCTAGCATAAAGAGAGAAAACGGTCGGCAAGTAGTGTTCACCTATTCAATTATTGCTTCCCTCTAATCGTGTAAGGCAGGTGGCCGTTTTTTCGGGTCTCGCATCCAATATTTAATATATTTCAACGTATAGTTAAAGGAAAACACGTTCATTCCACCGGGCCAATCTGTGGAGGACTGAGGTAGACTTGCACTGCTAGGTGGAAAGAATCCCCGTCTAAGCACACATGCCGGCATTGAGACCATGCATTCCACGAATTTGTGCGAATTCCATCGACTTCTTGGCAGCAGTGCAGCAAAAATAAGCAAACTTTCGGCGTAACAACTACGAACCAGTCGCATTCACCCTGGCCGACATGTGTGAATCCGTGTCAACGATGTTTGACTGGGTAGTGGTTGCTTCACTGGTGTTCATACCGTTTGTTACTTTCGTACATGTTCTTCCATTTGCATCTGTTCCCAAAAATTTCGACCTATCGTGCGTAATTTAGCTTCCTTCTGGCATGCACGTGATGCGAAACGGTACAGATGAACAGTCAGACGGCTGCTCGTCATCACAACTAATCAGCTGGTTAACGCTCATGGTCCGTTAGCCTAACGTGACAGCACTTCACTCGTCTGATTAAACAGAGCACACAAAACTGGCGACAGGTTTGGTGCTCATAACGAGAACATGCTTAATCGATGCGTTTTTATCACAATCAAAAACACACTACGTATGAATTCCTCAGCGTCTACAAGTCGAGTGTAGGAAGTAGCTATCGATTGGATCAGTGAAGTGGGTGTTTGACAGCATTTTAGGCTTTTTACACATATAACGTGATACTCTAGGAGTTCTGTTCATTGAAAAGAAACATAAACCGTTCCAAAGGTCGATGAACAGCCACGTAGTGATTTTGATTGAATGCAAAATAATCGAGGAAAGCCGATGGTATTAATACCGTTTTGCACATTGCACAAAACAATGATCGTGGAATAAAACTGTCAGATTGGCAAGGTTGGGGACTTCCAAACAAGTAGTCTGTTGGGTTAGTGCCTGTCAAAGTGTATGTGGCGTTTGCATGCTGAAATGAGGGGCAACAATAAGTTCCGAAAAATGCTGCCCTTTTACTCGTCCACTTTTTTGATAGTTGGATTCAGAATGGAATGCGTCTTGCACCACGAACGCATATTTGTCGTCAGTAGCTGAAATTCCCCAGGAAGAATTTCTTCCCCTTACTTGAGGGGTCAGACGAAGTAAAGTACTTTAGACTTACGGCGATTGTCTAAGACAGATGAAACCCGATTCCTCAGTACCGAAACCATTCTCATTGGTCAAGAGAATAAATCCAACACTAGGGGACGATGTGGGATTTGTTCAGCGATTCGATTTCGACCTGTCTTTAACAACTTATACGAGGGATGAATAGCATCTGGTGCACTCACTCCAGTAGAGTAGAAGTATGCCCACAGAACTTGTTTCGAACTTGCAGGCAGAGCTAAATTTCCATTCCGCCGGAGCACTAAATATGCTCCAGCAATGAGGAATGACATGCGACATATTTTTCCCTCCCGGATGTTTCCCCGACGGGTGCTAGGTCGTGGTCCTGACGGAGACAGTTTAGACTGCCGCGGAGGCCAGTAAGCAGCAAGGTCGTGCTGTAAGGAGCCTGGATGCGTTGATCAGAAATCGCTGCTACATAATTTAGACAGCAACATCTATCCATCCACCTCCAACCCGTGGTTTTCATTATCTTGTACTAATTATCCCTGATGAACGAACATGTAGCAGCTGAAACCACTGTGCTTCTGTACACGGCAGATGGCTGAAAGACAAGCTGAATCAACCCGGGCATCTTTTTACGGCACGATTATTCCCTACTTTTAGTCTCCTTATACCCTTGAAATCTCCGAATAAACAGATTTCTGATTGGCTGCAAGTGTACTGAGGATATTTTTAGAAGTACAAACTTAAATGTCCGGCAAGATGACCTCAGTGGAATCCACAAAACGCTCTGCTTTATGCTCCTGAAACCAGGAGCACCGGGAAATTTACCATCAAATTGGTTTCTTTGTTGAAAGTGGAATATTTCATTCCATTATGCCGTGAATACTATCAGTCCAATACACACGAACATAGCTAAGTGAATGTGCACCAACCATCATTCGCGGTTCCATAACTCATCTGTCATCCTGCCAGAATGACATCAAACTTTGAAACGATGTGATCGTGATCAGCTTCTAGGACGCATTGGTAAATCACCCTCGTCATCCTTTTGGCCGGATTATTCACTTCAAAGAACCAGTTTCTCCCACCGCTCTATGCGACAAACATAACAGAGGTTTCCGCGTGTCTCTGTCACAAGTGCAGTTTTTAGCTAGCTGTGAGCAGCAGCTGTTCTCCTTGCATTGGATCGCCAGTCCGTGAAGGCGAAGCGCTTCTTTTCCATTTACCTCTCGGGTAAAGATTTACTACAAATATGTACTGCCGAACACGACCCTTGATTCCTCGTAAGTATTCCAAAGAGTCAGCTGTGCAGGTGGAATAATAACGATATTACACAAGGAAAAAGTTTTCTCGATACGACACTTTTGATAAGGTTTATCAAAACACACTACAACCCACTTGATCATCATCATCATCATCATCATCATCATCAATATCAACTGTAAGAACCGCGTATTTGTCGTACAGTGGTTGTAGCTACCACAGTTTCGTTCACGATGATTCGGGAAAGTGGGGTAGGTATCTGCGCATTGGAGACGGGAGCTGATAGATTTGTGCTTAGATACAGGACTGTTAGGTGGAGTGGGGATTAGGAAGGGAGCTTTGCATTGAAGGCAATAGCTTGGATGCACGAGCGCCATTGAGGGCGCGACTGGACTATGTCTGACAGTGTCTCTAACCCGTCTCGGGGTCCATATCCAGGAAGACAGCAGTGATCAGCGCAGCTGAGTTTGCTCATCAGATGGATGTGGTTCTTGCATCTCCATCAATCGTGCTTCCCACCTGAAAATCAAAGCACACCTGATGCTGACAAGAGTTCCAACCGGATATCAGCTGATTACGATTATTTTGCGTGATTGACTAAATCAATACTGGCAGCATATTGTGATATTTATTAAAATTCATTGGAATTGGATAATTTAACGGTGAGAATCCAAATGGTAGAAAGCCTAAAGAACACTTCTCACTCCTTCTTCCGAGTCCAAGTTCTCTTCTAGTTCAGACGGAAGCGAATCCTTACCACCAGAATTTGAGAAACTACCATTTCGATTGTGTCTTTGGATGAGTTAGGCTTTATCGCTCAAAAATTGAATGGAGAACGAACCAAAACAATCATTAGGGTGGTCAATAGGTAGCGCCACATGAGGGAACATTTACATCGATTTGAAGGAAATGTTTAAAATGACAAAAAGTAAAAATACGATCACGAGAAGGAATTATTTTTGGGACGGGGAGGGGGGATTAAATGCATGGAAGGGGCGCACAAAGAAGTCCACGAGTGTAAACAAAATATAAATTACAACAGGAGGAGTGAAACGGTGAGGTGTCATGACAGCCACGAACTAACTGAATAATTCACAGCGCAGATGAACCGAACTGACGGCAAGTCTGTTGACAGAGAATGTAAGGGGGTAGGGAGGGATCGGGGTAGGGGGTTGGGCGGAGTGCGGAAGCCGGGAGAAAGACGGAAGGAGGGGAAGCGAAAGCTGTCGGCAATCTATAGGCGAGTCAGGCGATCTCTCACCAACCGGAGATAAAGAATGGTACGAAATAAGGGCAACCAGCACATAAATCCAGTTGCTGCGTGCGTGGAACGTGCAACCCCTTAACGGACCGATGGTTCGGAAGGGTTCCTGTGGAAAATTAATTGTATCAGCACCTGGATAAGTGTTAGCTAGGTTGAGGAGCACTGTTCGACGGAGCCGTTTTTCGATCTACAAAGTGCAAAAAAGAAGAGATGAAGCCATAAAAATAAAACGGAGTACGGGCTGGAAGAAGAAGGTGAAATAGGACGTCATCTCAAAGTCACTACCGAACACACACAAACAACATTAAGAGAAGGAAACTACTCACAAGGTTGCTGTGAGTAGTTTCCTTCATGATAATGTACTGCGATATCTCGAATATCGTGCGAACTGAAACATGAGGCGGCCTGTGTGCAGCATATTCAGTTGTAGAATATCATAAACGAGAGATTCAGTTGAGTCTCTTGTGAAAACCAAATTGATTTACAAATGAATGTATTTCTCGAAAACAGTCCAATTTGGGTTAAAGTAGATCATAATGTTGATGGAAACTCGGGGACTGCGCGCCTACCTGATGAGCCCGAACTGGAAGGGCGAAACCGTTCGTGGGATGTCGGAGAGTCTTCAGCAACCTTGTGAGTAATTTCCTTCGTGAAAACATCAGCAGAACCTTACAGTGAAATTCGAAAATTGTCATTACTGCATATGCAACCCGCCAAAATGCCCATCTCCGTCTCAAAATATTATTTTAGGACTATGATCGATCAGATCGAACAGGCACGCAAGTGCATCCACATGAAAAACCACAATGGAATGACGTCAGCAACCACAAGTCGCTCAACTATCAGTTTTCCATCCCTTTGGTTTGGTGAGTGAAACAACTACAGTGTTTGTGGACTAGTTCGCACGCGTTCACATGGCTCTTCACGGATGAAATGCGCCGTCAGCGAGGGGAGGGCGTTACGAAATCAAACGGTTGAGGAAATCTTGAGTAGATTGCAACAACCTAGCAACCTTCTTATGGCACCGGATACTGATTCTTGTTATCTATTTGAGATTTCACGCTATAAATAAAATCAAGCAACGCTGAAATATCCAAAAGCCTTTTACAACCATTTCACCTTTGTTGGAAGTAGTCATCAGGATAAATAATCAATTACTCAATCGAATAATAACGGTCCTCCTTCTGGTCTGGTGCGATCATTGTGGTGAGTTCAAACCAGAGAGGGGAAGCACTGGACCCGATTTTCGCTCTTATTGGAGCTTGTAGAGGTCACTCATCAGACAACGTGTCACAAACACTCAAACCGCGTAACAATTCCTGTCCCACTTGCAACCCTAGCCGACCTGTGCACTACAAATTCTCATCCATTTTTGTTCACGCGGCTACCATTTGCGTAACGCGCCAGGGGGGCGAGATGGCCCAAGTGGTTAGAGCGCGAATTTACTGACCGGAAGGTTCGTGGTTCGAACCCGACCTCTGCCTCTCGACTTCCCCTGTCTAGGCTTGGGCAACCTGGCAGTATCCCAGCCCTCGTGCAACCTTCTGGCGGCATGGCAGTTAGGCATCGAAAGGGTGTTGCAGCTGAACGATTATTATTATTTTTGTAACGTACTACTGAAAATCCATCGACAGCCTGAGAACATCATAAACGAGGGATTCAACTGGGTTCCAGGTGAGTCTCTCGAAAGAACCAAATTAGTCTGCAAATGAGTGTATATTCGCTGATTATTATTATTATTATTATTATTTTTATTATTATTTAACGCGCCAGGCTTATGAACTCTAACACATCAGGCCAAGTTGTATTCATGTTCGTGCAAGTATCGAACACGAAGGGACACCCCTCTCTTCACACTGCACACAATAAATAGGCATGCAACTCGGCCAAACACACACACTCGCGCTCACAGGACAGGAAGTCAACAGAGCTGCGTAAGTCTCCACGGAACATGTGTAGCAGCTATATGCAGAGAAGACACGCCCCGCGTCCAGAACTTCACTCAGGAACTCTCAACAAGTGTCCTCAAACGATAATTCACTGTTTTGACTCATTCCAATTTTCGCATTACCAAGTGCACCTAAGACAGATCTTTGTTAGTGCTTGTTACCTTCTGATAAGCAACTTAATTACGTCACGACTAGAGCACCAACAATCTCAGCATTAGCGCCAGATGTTGTTCTCCATACATGTAAAGTGAGCGTACGAGAGTGGTGTAAGGTCTACACGTTCCGCAACCATCGAAAATTGTCCATCAGGTTTCAAGTGTCCTCATTGCGAAGTCCTGATGGAGACGAGTTAGTTGACCGACCTAACGGTTACGGGGTCATTGTTCGGTCCGTCGTGCGAACCAATCACATCGCTCAAGCATAAATACCAGCATTGCCTGCCTGTTCAGAGGTGGTGATTCAGGTGCGCGCAGATTGCGCTGGTGAGATAACGGCAAAATGCTCTCCTCACAGGTTCAAAGTTTAAACCTTGGCACAGCCAGGGATATCCTGTGCTTATGAACCCCAGTGAGAGTGAAACTCGAATTCAGCGCTCCCCCCTGTGCCAGGACGGGAGGACTGTGGTGAGTGATGTGGATGTGAATTCTACAAATCCTGCGACCGTCATCGAATCATTGGGTGGCACTTCACCGATCTTCGAAAGGCTTCGAACCCGCGCCACTCCTCTTGGTCGTCCCGTGCTGTTTCACTCGGCCAAGAGTCATCAATAGACATCAATAGGATCAACTTATAACACAATCCAGACATTGTGCAATGCGTTGGTCAGTTGCTCGTGGCCGAATGATTAAGTATTTAGCCACTGACCGGGAGGTCGCGGTTCGAAACTCTTGTGAGATGTGCACTGTGGATGATTACGAATAAAGATAAATTCAGCACTGTCAGTGTACTGTTGACTGGGGGATTTGGGAAGGGAGCCATGCATTGGAGGCAACAGCATGAATGCACCAGCGCCATCGAGGGCGCGACAGGGCTTTCAACCATTGGTATGGTCCGTCTCGGAGTCCCGATGCAGGAAGACGGCAATGACCAGGAATTTTCAAGCTTTTCAAGACAAACTAACTCCTCTAGCAGGAAACTTACCCGGGTTGACCTTGAACTGTTGTATTTCGTCCCATATCAATAGCTTGAGTTTCTCCTTTGGCAAATTGTCTGATTCGTGAGTGAAGGGGTACTGTGCGACGGGCTGAAAGTGCAAAATCGAAGTCCGATTGGTTAGTTACAAAACAACAAATAAAAGAAGAGGAATACAGTATGCTGAAGCAAGAAACACGATATTTGATCGCAGTATGGATGACGACGGGTCACCCAAAGTCTCTGACCAATGGTGGTAAAAGGAACGTCGACCACCTACGTCTATGATCAAATTAGGGTGTTCAGGATTGGTGACGGAAATCAATGGGTACAAATCTTCTTTGCGAACCCTGCTGAAGCCCATAAATCTCCTCGAAGAAGCTTGTAGCAATAAATTAATCAAGTAATAACCTTGAGTCCCAAATTTAATCAGCTGATTTCGGAAAACAACGGACTATTCTTAGATCTTCAGTGACGTAGGACAACTAGTTACGATCGCTCTGGCAAGATGGTCAGGTGACTAGTATTGATCTATGGACACTGGCGAAAGACTGAATGGCGAAAGTTAATGCATAGGCAGTCATGCGTATGGAACAAATGGCGTTGCACAGGTTGTGAAACACTTAAAATAACGACAGTCCACATCGACCTTGCGCAAAGCGCCTCGGGTAAACGGGAATGATGAAAGACAATATGAAAAAAAAATGACCACAGAGGTTTGAGAACATTGATCTACCGGACACTGAGTACGCGGGCCGTATTGTTCTTCTTGGATCACATCCTTTAGAAATGCAAACTACCGATGAAAGACAATATGAGAAAAAATGACCACATAGGTTTGGGAACATTGATCTGCCGGATATTGAGTACGAGGACCGTATTGTTTTTCCTGGATCACATCCTTTAGAAATGCAAACTACTACGAATAAGCTGGATAATTCTGCTGCACAGTTCGGTATGAGCTTCGCACCTGTAAAGAGTAGAGCAGGTGGAACCAAGCCCAGAACTCATACTTGCAGCTGGGCCCACCAACGTGACAGATTAATTTGTCAGTCGAGGCAACTGCATAGGTCCCGGTGGAACAGCGAAAGACAAAATTAGGGAGGCCAGAGCAGCGTTTGCAAACCACCGATATCTGTAGTTCTGAAGTGACATTAGCGTCAAAGGTAGAGTGCACAATGCCTAGGTCCGATCTATCCCACTTTACGGGCCATAAACGTGGCAGTTGTGTGCGGAAAATCTTCGAAGATTCTCTGTGTTTGACCACCGGTGCTTCCGAAGCGTTGCACGGGTCTGGTGGAATTCGAGTAATGCTGAGCCACGCCAGGTGGTTTTCACGATAGTCCACTATCTCTTGATAAATCAACTGGTTATGCTCCACAGGTTACGCTGATTAGGTCATGTGCTCCCTAGGCCAAAGGACCACCTGCTTCGTAGAACCTTTTTCCCCAAACCCTGTATCGGATGGAGATGATCGATAGGTGGACAGTCTATAACTTGGCTGCAAATCATCAGAGTGCTCGTGGTTCCTATTTCCTTATTCCCGAAGGAAGCGGTGGCAGCATGAACCAATGCGCTTCGGTGCATTGGTTCAGATGTTACGGGGTTACGAACAATCGATCTGCTGGGTAGTCATCATCATCATCAAAGACAGCAACATCAGTGTTGGCACTGCTTCACTGCCGTAAGTGTTTAGGGTTGTAACTGAACTCGGACGTGCAGAAGCTGCATCTGAGTGTGATGCAGGGCGAGCAAAACGGTCAGTCCTATAGCTGGGACCTGCGGAGAAAGTA